CACTTAGCGAGTAGTTCGGGTATGGAATGCAAGTGTGTTTGGAGAAGTTCGATTGTGGCATTCAATAGAGCATTGGATAATCACTTGGATGGAATAATGTACAAGGGTATGAGGGAGAAATTTCCCTCTGAAATGTGCATTATAAACGGAACTTTATTTTTCCCTGCTGTTTGCATTGATGACAGCGAATTACCCACGTTGAGTTAGCTTGTGGCATGAATTGTATTTCATGTCGATTATTTATCTTTCAAATCATTTAACTATGAAACCGAAAGCTTTTTTAAAATATTTGATACATGTGCGATGCACACCACAGGCTTTGAGGCTTCTTCGTGAAAGAGGGAAATGTTTACAGGAGGGCGTTTCCACAATAATCTAGCAGGTCTGGCAGCATCCGTGAGGAAAAATTCAGAGTTAATGTTTCGGGTCACGGAGCAGCTGAGCTTTTCCAGCAACTTCTGTTTTTGTTCCTGATTTACAACATCCGCAGTTCTTTTGGTTTTTACGCACAATAATCTCACCTGTTGTTCTGCATTTGCAGTGATGTTTTGGTCTCGTGGCTCTTTGCTGAAGCTGCTTATGTGAATCCTAGAGTATCCAGCTGAGGACAATGAGAATGATGCTTGAATGCATTGACGAAGAGCCTAATGTTTTACATGAAGGTTTCTGCTTTAGTTGCCCTTTGCAAGTCATTTTGCAGGGCATACAAATATAATCTATCGACTTAGTGACTTCATAGTGAAATAAACTTCAAGTTTTATAAGTGTGCCTTTCTCCTATTCCTTTACGTTATCTCAAGGGTTAATTAGCTCTGCTGGCTGGATACTTGGCGAGTGATGCTGACAGCATGGGTTCAATGTCCATACCGCATCAGATTGCTCTAAAGGATGCTACATCTCAACCTCTCCCCACATCTGAGGTTTGGTGACGTTCAGTTTAAGCCACCACCAGGCGATTCCCTCTAATGAGAGAGCAGCGTCCGTGACTATGACAATTTTACGTTTACTATATCATATTCAGGCAGAATCCGTTTGAAACTAAAAGGGCAAACTACTATGACTATTATTTTATCAAGAGTGAATTTGTGAATTGAATTCAAGCAAAATCAATTCAGCAAAGTATTTGCAATGTAACAACACATCAAGGATTCTGAATCAATACATGATCATTTTTCTAATTTATTGGTGCATCTAATTTATGAAGGTTTACCAGTATTATTAATGTTCTTTCAGAGCAGAGGTACAGATTTCTAATGTGGTCCCTTCTGACAAGTGTGTTTCGCATTTTGCTGCATCGCATGGCGAGCCCGGTTACTGCTAGATTAGATATGCAGGGACACTCTGGCTGTTAGCAAAATTGATTCTTATGACATAACGAACTACACAAAATACATACTTTTTTAAAAAAAAACTACTTGTGAAAAGTTATGATATAGTCAGCGTGTGTGATTGCCACTGCGCAACTAAAACTTTATTAAGTTTCCGTCGTAGGTTTCCGAGTTCTCTAAAACTGCTCACCCCGTTTCAGCTAATTATGACAGCAGACTATTTCAGGTTTAACTTACTAGGTGATCTTTACACTGAGGAATGATGTGACTTTAGGAAGTACTATGTGTAATTATTGGATAAGACTCTTTGTGTCGCTGTCTACCAATGAAGAATTGAAAAATGAAGACATCCATCAGTCCTCCCGCAGCCTCGTACACACGCTGAAGAAAGAACAGAGGGGAAAGCCAGTACCAGATTGCGGTTGCATCTCAGCCATCTTTGATCTCCTTTCCTTCGAGTCATTCTACGTTAGGAGGGCATGTTATTTATCAATCATTGTCCTTTTGACTTCGCACCAAGTGAAGAAGCTCTAAGCGATCTACATTTTATTACTATTTGCAACAGAGTTCGAATGAAAGGACGTCTTTACACAGATAATGCAAACGTCGTTTTCCATTATCTTGCTTTTCGTCTGGGATTTTGCTTCTGCCCAGATTCATTACTCGATTCCAGAAGAATTAGAATACGGCGCTTTTGTTGGGAATATTGCTAACGATATTGGATTAGATGTGAGAGAACTGTCCATCCGTAGATTTCGGATCATGTCAGCTGCAAAGAAGAGGTATTTTGAAGTTAATTTAAAGAATGGTGTTTTGTTTGTTAATGACAAAATTGACAGGGAGCAGCTTTGCGGCCAAACTCTTATGTGCTTACAAAATATCGAGATTGTTACAGAAAAGCCCTTAAAACTGTACCGTGCTGAGGTTGAAATACAAGATATCAATGACAATTCCCCCAGTTTTCCGCAGGATGCGCTACGTTTGGAGATTCTTGAGTCAACTCCGCCGGGAACTCGCTTTCCATTACAGAGCGCGTATGACCCTGACGTGGGTACAAATTCTGTTCACACTTACAACCTCAGTCCAAACGATCACTTCACGTTGGATGTTCAAAACAGCAATGATGGAACTAAAAGTGTATATTTGCTACTTGATAAATTCTTGGATAGAGAAATACAAGCTGTTCATACCTTACTTCTCAGTGCCTTGGATGGTGGGATTCCAGAACGATCTGGTAATGCCCAAATTATTATCGCTGTCCTTGATGCCAATGACAATGTGCCTGCGTTTGACAAGTCTGTTTATTGGGTAAAAGTGATTGAAAATGTAATCGATAATACATTAATTATTAATCTTAATGCTACCGATTTAGATGAAGGCACAAATGCAGAAATAATCTACTCTTTCAGCAGTTATACTCCTGAAAGATTGCATGAACTGTTTAGTATAGAACCTCACACAGGAAAAATCACAGTTAAAGGAGTGTTGGATTACGAAGAAGCCAACATCTACGAGATTAATGTGCAAGCCAGAGACCAGGGTCCTCATTCTGTTCCTGCATATTGCAAAGTTGTAGTGGAAGTTGTAGACACGAATGACGTAGTACCTGAAATGACGCTGATGTCGTTATCTAGCTCCATAACTGAAAATGCTACGATCGGGACGATGATAGCTCTAATGAGCGTAACGGATCCGGAATCTGGAGAAAATGGCAAAATTAGTTGTGATGTTCCTAATAACCTTCCGTTCCAGTTGAAAGCGTCTTTCAAGAACTCTTACATGTTGGTTACTAATGCGTTATTGGACAGAGAAACTGTTTCTCAATACATAATTAATGTCAGTTGTTCAGATGCTGGATCTCCTCGTCTCTTCACCAACAAAATCATTGTGCTGGCGATCTCGGACATTAACGACAATGCACCACGCTTCACAAAGTCATCGTACACAGCCTATATATCGGAAAACAACACGCCCGGAGGAACCATCTGCTCAGTGACGGCTTTTGATTCTGACCTCGGTGAAAGCGCTGACATTTCTTACTCTATTATGGCGAGTCAGATTCAAGGCATGTCTGTCGCGTCCTTTGTATCAATTAATTCAGAAAATGGAGAAATATTTTCACAGCGTTCATTTGACTATGAGCAATTTAAGAACTTTCAAATCCACGTCCAAGCTCGTGACGCTGGAAGCCCACCCCTCAGCAGTAATGTTATTGTAAATGTAATAATCCTCGACCAAAACGACAACTCTCCTGTCATTGTATCTTCTCTGTCAAAAAATGGAACACACGTAATGATGCCTCGATCTGCACATCCAGGTTACCTGGTGACAAAAGTGACTGCAGTGGATGCGGATTCTGGACAGAATGCCAGATTGATTTATCAATTGATCCAATCTACTGATCGAACTCTTTTTACTGTTGCACGTAATTCGGGAGAAATCAGAACAATGCGAGTCTTTGAAGAGAGAGATTCAATTACACAAGTACTTGTAATCTTGGTAAAGGACAATGGTCATCCTTCCCTCTCCACTACTGTCACAGCTACATTGTCACTGATGGATGAGACTGCTGCAATTATGTCAGATTTTAGCAATCAGCCCCAAAATATTGAGCAGTCCACGGATTTGGCAATCTATATAATAATATCGCTAGGGACAGTCTCATTCGTCCTTCTTTTGATAATAATTGCGCTCATTACCACAATGTGCCACAACAGCAATGATCAAAATGATGATTGCTCTCTGATCACTTGTTTTGGACGTGACATTACAAACAATACATCGAAGCAGTCTCACGTAAATCTTCGGATAGCCCCCAATGTTCAACCAACTGCAAATGTTATGGAAGTTCGTGGAACTGGGTCACTCTCTGAAACTTACTGCTTGTTTCGTCCAACAACTGAACCTGAGAACGGGAACTGCGTACTTCTCACCCCTTTCGGTTCAGCAACGCGTAGAAGCAATAACAAGAATGCTGACGTGTATTTCTTAGAGTGCAATCAGCAGACGAAACAAAAGCCTAATATTGTCAGTGAGGTGAGTGAAAGAAATGTAAAACAAACTGAACGCCTAACATCCGGAAAAAAAACAAAGTTGCTGGAAAAGCTCAGCAGGTATGGCAGCATCTGTGAAGGAAAAAATAACAGAGTTAACATTTCGGGTCTGGTGATCCTTCCTCAGAACTGATGGTGGCTGGGAAAACCTTCCTGGTTGCTGCTCCTCCACTTTGGGTGGTCTTGGGCGTGATTCTCAGGTGTCCGTGGGAATGCCACATTTTGCCAGTCAGGCCTTGAGGGTATCACTGAAGCACTTCCTCTGCCCACTTGTTTGTATGCAGAAAAAAGGGTGGGGAATGGGGTAGGGAGCAACTTTTCCCATATCACCCAGACTTACGCGAAATTGCATGGTGAAAGTCGCAAAATGTATGTTGTTATTGATGGAAAATGCCAATTCAGTACAATATAGGAGTAATGATGAATGAAGAAATTACTAGTTTTTTTAATCAGTTTATTATATTGTGTTATTTTACATAGTTTTATCTCCCTATAGAGGTTCCATTTTATCGACAATGCAATCTTTTTCAAGTATTTATTTCATTGTCTTCACCAATAACCTATATAACCTGAGCAATGTGGTCAATAACAAGTAAGTCTGATTTTAAAGTGGTTGCTAAGAGGATTGGACAGTTGTATAAGGGAAGTGAGTGGTGGGGGCAGGGGGAGGAAAGTCATCTGCAAGATTATTGTGATCTGGAACTGACTGCTTGAAGGATGGTAGAAAAATTGATCAGAAATTTAAGCACTACTAAATGTGTTCCAAATTTTGCACTGTTGGGGAAATAAATGGGAAAACAGTCATATCATATCCAAAAGTATTTGTCCCAGTTTTATTCCGTTAACTTCTAGAAGAACCTATTTACATCCTGATAACATTGTCTGGGAGTTAATTCCTTCCATTGCTACATTCAAACAACAAAACAACTCACATTTGAATAAAGCTTGCCATGGCAACAAATTTCATTTGGTGGAATTCTGGAAAGGTGGTGGCATTTTCATTCATTAGTGGTCTCTTGCAGATGTGGATGAGACTCTTGCATTCTCAGGACGAATCTGAAAGTGACTCTATAAACCAATGCTGCTACCACAGGTTCTGTTACACTTGCAGCGGAAGGTAGTCATGGGAAGCATAGAAGGGGAATTGATTTGGCCACTGCTCCTTTTACTGTTTTCACTTGACTTCTTCCCAACAGCAAGTCTTGAGGTGCTTGACACCTTCCTGGATACTCCTCCTCTACTTTGGGTTGTCTTGGGCCAGTGATTCCCAAGTGTCTGTGGGAATGCCACACTTTGCCAGTGAGGCCTTGAGGGTATCACTGAAGCACTTCCTCTGCCCCCCTGAGGCTTACATGCCATTTTGAAGCTGGGAGTAAAGCACTTGCTTTGGAAGTCTTCTATCAGTGATATGGATGATGTGCCCAGCCCATCACAGCTGGTCAAGGGTAGTCAGTGCCTCAATGCTGTGGATGTTGGCTTGCTCGAGGACACCGATGTTGGTATATCTTCCTTTCCAGTGAATTTGCAGGATCTTGCATAGGCAGCATTTGTTGTACTCCACCAGTGCCTTGAGGTGTCTGCGGTAGACAGTCCATGTCTCAAAAACATATAGGAAGGCAGGAAACACCAGAGTTCTGTAAACCATGGTTGTGGTTTTGGATCTGATCTTATTGTCCTTGAACGCCCTTTGCCTCAGGTGGCCAAAGGCTGCACTAGCACATTGGAGGTGGTGCTGGATCCCTTCATCAATAATTACTTTGGCCATCAGAACACTCCAGAGGTACTGGAAATGGTCAACATTCCATAAGGCCTCCCTGCAGTCATTGATGAGGGGGAGTGGAGGTATAGTACTAATTTCACTGACCTAATAATCTGGAAGCTCAGGATTGTATTCTACTTTGATAACACATGAAATTTAAATTATATGAATAAATCTGAAATTTAATAAAAGCTATTCTCAGTATTGCTGACAATGCAACAATTGTTGATTGTCACAAAAGTGTCTAGTTTATTAACATACATTCTTACTTGGTCTGGCCTAGATGTGACTCCAGACTCACTGTAATGTTGTTTGCTCTTAACTGCCCTCTGAAAATGGTTCAGCAAACCACTGAGTTCAAGAAAAAATAGGTGGGAATCTTAAGAAGAATCCCTATGATATGGTAGAATTCATCCTGCAGCTGGAAAGGGAGAAGCTTGAATCAGATGTAATGATATTACAATGAAGTAACATTAACCACAAAGAGATGAAGGATGAACTGGTCAGAGTTGTCTGGAAGGAGAACCGAGCAGGGAAGATCGTGGAGCAGAAATGGCATGAGTTTCAGGGGGTTATTCAGGAGGCACAGTAGAAATTCATCCCAAGGAAGAAGAAACATATGAAGGGGAGGACAAGTCAACCAAGGCTGACAAAGGAAGTCAGAGACAGCATTAAAGCAAAAGAAGAAGTGTACAATAATGTGACATTTGAGGAGCCTTTAGACGTCAGCAGGAGACAACTTAATAAAAAGCAATAAGGGGGAAAAGATGAACTGTGCGGGTAAGCTTTCCATTAACATAAAAAAAGATTACGTTTTTAGATATATAAAAGGTAAGAGTGAGGCAAGAGAGAACATTGGACAACTGGAAAAGGAGGTTGGAGAAGTAGTAATGGGAACAACAAAATGGTGAAGGGATTGCATAGATACTTTGCATTGGTCTTCATAGTAGAAGACACCAGTAACTTACCAGAACTTCAAGAGAGTCTGTAATAGAGGTGAATGTAGAGGCCATCACTAAAGAGAAGATTCTGAGGAAGCTGAAAGGTCTGAAGTTGGATAAATCGCCCAGACTGGTGACTGTATCAATCAGGTTATTAGTAAGGTTTCTGAGTCCACTGTTAAGGATGAGATTGCAGAGCTAATGGACATGCATGGTAAAATAGTCCATCAAAGGAAGGTCACGCCCTGACACATTTGTTGGAATTTTTTGAGGAGGCTATGACCAATTTAGACAAAAGGGAGCTGGTGAATGTAATCTATTTGGATTAAGTGCATTTTTATGAGGATAGGAAGAGGCAGTGGCATTTTGGAAGGGAATTCCAGACAGCTAAGCTGAGACAGCAGAATAAAAAAGCCACCAATGATGGATAAAAGCATTAGCAGATTCACAACAGTCCAAATTGAGACACATAGAATTATAAAGGGCTGTAAAGAAGAAAGGAAATTTTAGGCTACATTGAGTGTAGATGTAATTTGATCTGACAGCAAGGATTTAACTTCTGGAAACAAAATCAAGGCAGTGGTAGATCACAATGCAATATGAGAGTACTAGTAATGGGAAGATTTGCTCTGGTTTGGGATATGACAAACTGAGTTCGGAATGAATTATAGATTTTCAAGGGTGCAAGATGCGTTAACAAATCAGGAGAGGATTTATCATTCTTTAGGTATTAATATTTCTGTACTGTCATCTTTTCTTCTCATCATGATAACTTGCATCATGTTAAACATTTGTTCAGGCTCAAGAGAATCATTTTGGCTTCATCTGTGATATTTATGGCTGAGGAAGATAGTGGCCAGAGAAGGCACAAGATTGAGCTCTCTTTTCTTTGGAACCCTAATCTCAGCTGTCCATCTCTGCTTTACTCTTGCAATGCATCTCCAAACAGTCAGACTCTTGAAGTCACAGTCATGTTTGACTGTCCACTGGTACCAATGGTATAGTCTTCATTTCAAAATCTTGCATTTGTTCTTGTAGCAGAGATATTGGTTGTACAGCAGGCCAAAACCCAGTCACCATTTTACAGTACAGAAGGCGTTTGAATATAGTGCAATGATCCATTTAATGATTGTAGTCTGGCCAGTGCAGATTTAATTTGTTTAGCAATCGGTGTATGCTGATGGGATTTAGCACAGTCCAGTACCTCTGCCTTGGTAACTTTGACATGCCAGAGAACCAAAAGTTCTTTATGAGACAGCAAATATGGAAGTTTTTCAGAATTACCTGCTGCCTAACATTTATTGTCCTAATCTCACTACAGTAAAGAAGTGCATTGAGAAGCTTGGTAGACTTACAGTTTGCTGTTGTCAGTCAGTTTCCTGTTGTTGCAGACAGTATTGCTTAAACTGGACATAATATAGAACATGGAACATAGAACAGTACAGCACAGTATAGGCCCTTCAGCCCATGATGTTGTGCTGACCTATTATCTTACTAAGATCAATCTACCCTGCATACCCTACATTTTACTATCCTCCATGTCCCTATCCAAGGGTCGCTTAAAAGAGTCTAAAGTATCTGACTCCACTACCACTGCCGGCAGCGCATTTCACACACCCACCACTCTATTACAATGGCTGTTTTGATTTCAGCAACAGAAGAAAGATTGTAGAGCATAGATATGTGAAGATATAATTGATCTTCAACATCGTCTTTTCAATCCTAATAGGTCGAAGTACAGCAAGATCCTACACCATGACATTTACGTTCCTAATGTCAATGGACAAACCAAACTCTTTATGTACTGGGAGAAGATTCCATTTTGTTCCTTGTTATGGAATGCAAGTATGCTATTGTCAGAATACAGCAACTTTCTAATGAAGCCTTGATACACATTTCTCTTCAACCTCAGGTGAAGAACAATGATAAGCTTTCTGTCAGTTCTGATTTGTATAAGTAGACAGGCTTAGTAGATGAACATAGGCTGCAGCAGTTCAAGGTGGTGGCTCACTACTACCTCTTCAAATTCCATTAGGCATGAGCAATAAGTGCTGACCAAGTCTGCAATTCCATATCCATTTCAAGAATGAATAAAGTTACAGCAACAAATATGTGTTGTCAAAGTTTTGGTGCAAAAACACAAATTTGCTTGCCCATTGCAGATCTCTAATGGTTTTTATATTATATCGCAACAAGATAGTTCACCTTACCCAACAGGTTACCACGGAAAAACAAGACCACATTGAGCAGTATTCAAACTCAAACAGTATTCTTCAGCAACTTAAATAGATCAGCTCTGCTCACAGGATTGAATGTCTTGTTGAGATCAATGAAGGTGCTGTAAATGCTTTTCAATTGTTTGCAGTATTTTCTTTGCAGATTCCACACCAAGAACATCAAATGAATCTTCTAGTTATGCATAGACGATGGTAGTAACAGGAGCATGAATGAACTTTTCAGTAGCAAATGGGATGAGGCAGGGGCAACAACAGCCAGTGTTATGACAATGCAGTAACCAGTTTTTTAGTCAGAATGGTCATGGCTCAAACTTCTTAAATTCTAAACAATCTAGTTCCACAGGGAACAATTATCAGAGAATGGAATCAAATCAATGTTTTTTTTTTATTTAAATGGAATATGAATCTGAAAACTAGTGTCAAAGTAAAGCAGAATATTGCATTTAATAAGATCATTTTGGCTATTGTGATTTAATGAGCACAAATAAATTGCAAATGAATGTAAGGGCGATTTCTAATAAGACTTTTTCTCATTTTCCATGCAATTTGAATGCGACAGACTTATTTTCCATCCCTAACTGATTGAGACAAGGCAGTGGTGAGCTGCCATCTCAATGCCACAGTCCTTGATGTGTAGGGACATCCACAGTACTGTGAGGAAGGGAGTTCCAGTAGGTGGTGGAAGCCAGGAGGAGTTTTGGGATGAGCTTTGGTGAGTTTTGCAGTGCAACTCACAGCTGCCACTTTAGTTCATTGGTGAAGGAAGTGAATGTTACAGATATGGATGGCATGCCAATCAAGTACACTGGATGGTATCAAGTTTCTGAGTGTGATTGGAGCTGCACTAATGAGGCAAGTAGTGCATATTCCATCACACTCCTGACTTGTCTTGTAGATCATAGAAGACAAGAGGTGAATTACTCACGACAGAATTCCAAGTCAGAGGCTGACTCTTGCAGTTATAATATTTATATGGCTCATCCAGTTTAGTTTCTGATGGATGATAACCAGCAGGTGGCTGATAATGATGAACATCATGGGGCAATGGTTAGATTCTCTCTTCTTGAAATTGTTCATTGCTTAGCATTTGGGTGGGATCAATGTTACTTGCCATTTATCAGCACAAAGCTTGGATATTGTCCAGGACTTGCTACATAGATACATAGAATGCTTTAGTACCACAAGTCTGCACCAGTCAAAACCAATCACCAAACTATTCTAAGCCCAAAATTCCAGCATTTGCCCCATAGCCTTGGCATTAGAAATGCACATCTAAATAATTCTTAAATGTTATGAATGCTCCTGTGTCTACTAACAGTACATGCAGTGAGTTCCAGATTCCCACTATGCTCTGAGTGAAAATATCTTTCGTCGAGAAACCTTGTGTCCCTTACGTTAAATATATGTCCCTGGTCATTGATCCCTCCAACATAGAGAAAAGTTCCTTTCTGTCTATCCTATCTATGTCCCTCATAAGTTTATAAATCTCAATCACGTCCCTTCTCAACCTCCTCTGCTCCAAGGAAAACACCCCAGTATGTCCACTCTCCAGAACTGTCCAGCCCAGGCAATATCCTTGTAAGTCATCCTCACCAATGCCATCACATCCATCCTATAATGTGGATTCCACAACTGCACACAATATTCCAGCTGTGGCCCAACCAAAATTTGATACAGTTTCAGCATCACCTCCATGCTGTTAGACACTGTGCCTCGGTGAATAAAGGCAAGAATCTCATTTGCCTTCTTAACAATTTTATCTACTTGTCCTGCTACCTTAACGGATCATTGGATCTAAGAGACTATATCCTAAGGAAAACTGAAGGAACTGCAGATGCTGTAAATGAGAAGTAAAAGAAGAAACTGTTGG